ATAGACACATATAAAATAAAAAACTCCCTCTTGAGCCTCTCTCAATTCCACGCCTCTTGGTCATCATAGAGCGCCAGGCTGGGCTCTCTGTTATGTAGCAGCTTCCCTCTAGTTACCTTTTTTACTAGATAGGAGTGTATATATGTCAATGCTACTTTCTCAGTTTATTCTACCTTCCCTTTTCCCCGCTGTAACCGCCAGACCGTTCCCTGTGAATGCTTCTCCATTTCTGCTCTGTAAATAGTACTGTTTTTCTAGATTCCATATTATGCATTAATATACAATATTTGTTTTTCTCTTTCTGACTTATTTCACTCTGTATAACAGGCTCTAGGTTTATCCACCTCCCTGCAACTGACTCAAATTCATTCCTCAGTGGTCATGAGTTTGGGTAAACTCCAGGAGTTGGTGATGGACAGGGGGCCTGATGTGCTGCAGTTCATGGGGTTACAAAGAGTCGTACATGACTGAGCGACTGAACTGAACCACAACTTCCTTATCCATTTCTTTATTTAATGTTATAACCTTTTCTACATTTTGTTATTGTGTCCATAGTTAGGTTTCAAATAGAATTTATTGTTTCTCAAAGGGAATATTAAGGATTGTGATTAATCTTACTAATCCTTCTAAACTTGCCTCCAGATGATATCTTAGCAATTTGTCTTCTCAGTTTGCTTATTTCTGATGTTTAACAAATTGCATATTATTTTTTGGTCATTTTTTCTTATTCTTTTGAGTTTTCCTATATTTTTCTCATTTTTCTATTTGGACCTCATTGTATTCTGAATGAACTGGGGAAAAGCCTTCTGAATTTTGAGGCACATTTATCCCCTAAGTTTTCTTGATTTTTCATTGCTTTAGGTGATTCGACAATGGTGTTTTCATTTTGTGAGATATAAATCTTTTCATATGTTTTTTCATTGATTATTATGAGTAAGTTCTATAATCATAAATGAGCTAATTTCCCATGTTCACTTTCTTTTAGTATTCCTCTTTGTTAATGTTTGGACTTCTCTTGTGGCTCAGCTGGTAAAGACTCCGCCTGCAATGTGGGAGACCTGGGTTTGATCTCTGGGTTGGGAAGATCCCCTGGAAAAGGGAACGGCCACCCACTCTAGTATTCTGGCTTGGAGAATTTTGGCCTGGGTTGCAAAGAGTCAGACACAACTGGGCGACTTGCACTTCAGTTCACTTCATATTAATGTTTACATTTAATCCTAGGATCATATGCAACTTGCTTTAGTACATATGCAACTGTACATGATGTACAGATTTAGATTTTATTCCCTCTGTATCAGATATTCCTTAATTATCTCTTTAAGATCATATAAGTATTATATTTTTGTGCTTTCTAGTGTCTACTAATGGGTTATCCTTTAGTAATTCCATAAATCTCTTTTGCACTATCATTTAGCTCATTTGTTCCTTCTTGTTCTTGCATTATTGAAGATTATACATATTATAATTTCTAGCAGCATATCCCACATTTATAACTGTTGAGTTCAGTATGTGTGAATGAAGCTGATGATAAGAACACAAATGATGTTCTTATTATTCCTCTCTAGTTGATCCATGATATCCTTAGGAATATAGCCTTACTCCAAGAAAGAAGGATCATAAACGTGGTGGGTATATAAACGTGGTGGGTAGTGGTAGCGAGGTCTGAGTGTGTTCGAGAAGTAACGTCTGTCACTGGAGAGAAGAAACAATAGCAGTAGAAAAGGGGGGACCAGTAAAACATTACATCTAATGCTCTGAAAATATTCCTACACACTTTAGTAACTTTTGAGAAGGTCATTGGGTTTGAACATTAGATTTAGGAGGTATGAGTGTGTTAGTTGGTCAGTTGTGTCTGATTCTTTCTGACCCCATGGACTGTAACCCACCAGGCTCCTCTTTCCATGGAATTAGTGGATGTATATGGAAGTGGATAGTGGAAGAATACTGTAGTGGATAGCTGCAAGTATTTTGTCTGGAGAATTCCATGGACAGAGGAGACAGATCCGTTCTCCAGGAGATCTTCTCCACCCAGAGATCAAACCCAGGTCTCCTGCACTGCAGGCAGATTATCATCTGAGCCACAGGGAAGCCCATGTGGGGTATAAAAAAATGTAAATAATGTTGACTTCTCAAAATAGCATTTTATCCCTTCTAGTCCATTTGGATAGTTTCCATTAAAATTTGTGTTCTAGTATTGCATATTTAGAAAGCATCACTACGAACAAAGCAAGTGGGGGTAATGGAATTCCAGTTGAGCTATTTCAAATCCTAAAGGATGATGCTGTGAAAGTATTGCATATTAGAAAGCATATGCCAGCAAATTTGGAAAACTCAGCAGTGGCCCCAGGACTGGAAAAGGTCATTTTTCATTCCAGTCCCAAAGAAAGGCAATGCCAAAGAATGCTCAAACTACCGCACAGAGTTGCACTCGTCTCACACGCTAGTAAAGTAATGTTCAACATTCTCCAAGCCAGGCTTCAGCAGTATGTGAACCGTGAACTTCCAGATGTTCAAGCTGGTTTTAGAAAAGGCAGAGGAACCAGAGATCAAATTGCTAAGATCCGCTGGACCATCGAAAAAGCAAGAGAGTTCCAGAAAAACGTATATTTCTGCTTTATTGACTATGCCAAAGCCTTTGACTGTGTGGATCACAATAAACTGTGGAAAATTCTGAAAGAGATGGGAATACCAGACCACCTGACCTTCCTCTTGAGAAACCTGTATGCAGGTCAGGAAGCAACAGTTAGAACTGGACCTGGAAAAACAGACTGGTTCCAAATAGGAAAAGGAGTACATCAAGGCTGTATATTGTCACCCTGCTTATTTAACTTATATGCAGAGGAGTACATCATGAGAAACGCTGGGCTGGATGAAGCACAAGCTGGAATCAAGATTGCCGGGAGAAATATGAATAACCTCAGATATGCAGATGACACCACCCTTATGGCAGAAAGTGAAGAGGAACTAAAGAGCCTCTTGATGAAAGTGAAAGAGTAGAGTGAAAAAATTGACTTAAAGCTCAATATTCAGAAAACTAAGATCATAGCATTTGGTCCCATCACTTCATGGGAAATAGATGGGGAAACAGTGGAAACAGTGTCAGACTTTATTTTTCTGGGCTCCAAAATCACTGCAGATGGTGACTGTAACCATGATATTAAAAGACGCTTACTCCTTGGAAGGAAAGTTATGAGCAACCTAGATAGCATATTAAAAAGCAGAGACATTACTTTGTCAACAAAGGTCCGTCAAGGCAAGGCTATGGTTTTTCCAGTGATCATGTATGGATGTGAGAGTTGGACTGTGAAGAAAGCTGAGCACCAAAGAATTGATGTTTTTGAACTGTGGTGTTGGAGAAGACTCTTTGAGAGTCCCTTGGACTGCAAGGAGATCCAACCAGTCCATCCTAAAGGAGATCAGTCCTGGGTGTTCATTGGAGGGACTGATGCTGAAGCTGAAACTCCAATACTTTGGCCACCTCATGTGAAGAGCTGACTCATTGCAAAAGACCCTGATGCTGGGAAGGATTGGGGACAGGAGGAGAAGGGGACGACAGAGGATGAGATGGTTGGATAGCATCACGGACTCGATGGACATGTGTTTGAGTAAACTCTGGGAGTTGGTGATGGACAGGGAGGCCTGGAGTGCTGCGATTCATGGGGTCACAAAGAGTCGGACACGACTGAGTGACTGAACTGACTGACTAACTGATTGCATATTTAAACTTTAGTTATATGCAGAATGTATTTCTCTGGCATATTGTCTGAACATTAGGGTGCTCTTATGACTTGTAAAAGTGTTGTGCGCTGCTTAGCAGGATTTTTGTTTTAATATAATTTTGTTTTTAATTGGAGGATGATTGCTTTACAATATCATGATTGTTTCCGCCACCCGTCAGCATGAATCAGCCGTAGGTGTACATGTGTCCCCTCCCTCCTGAACCTCCCTCTGCCTCCCTCCCTCCCCACCCTTCTAGGTGCTCATGGAGCACTGACGTTGGGCTCCCTGAGTAATATAGCAGATTCTCACTAGCTATTTATTATATCTGAAAATGTGTGTTTCAGTGTTACTGTCTCAAATCGTCTTACCATCTCCCTTCCCCACTATGTCCAGAAGTCTGACCTTTATGTCTGCATCTCCTTTGTTTCCCTGAAAATAGGATCATCAGTACCAGCTTTCTAGAGTCCATAGGTATGCATTAATGTATGATATTTGTCATTCCTCTCCTGACTTACTTCATTCTGTATAATAGGCTGTAGGTTCAGCCACCTTATTAGAACTGACTCAATTGCATTTCTTTTTATAGCTGAGAAATATTCCATTGTGCATATGTATCACAACTTCTTTATACATTCATCTGTCAATGGACATGTAAGTTGCTTCCATGTCCTGCCTATTGTGAATAGTTCTGTGGTGAACATTGGGGTACATGTGTCTTTTTCCATTATGGTTTCCTGAGAGTGTATGCTCAGTAGTGGGATTGCTGGGTCATATGTTAAGCAGTTTTCTGAAAAAAGTTTTTTAAAACTATTTAGTAAGGGCAGAAGATATGTAGACTACACACACGTCTAGATAAATATTATGTGTACATATTGGGGTTTTATGGTTCTTTTCATTACAATATGATACCTCTATAGTGTACTAAGCCATTTCAGTTTTTAAAAAAGTCACATCAAAATTGGTACCATTCCTATATTAGGCTAATAACTAAGCATTAAAAATCATCCTCAAAACCAACATAATAATATAGAACTGTTGTTTAAATGTAGTTCTAAAACTGGGGAAGAGTAAAAAAATGTGTTACTGAAAGATTCCTCTACAGTCATTATATTTAAAATTTCTTTTTATAAATCATTTTTTATTTTATATGTAGAAGTACATCTCAGATTCTTTTCTTACAATACTGTAAAGCAGTTATCCTTCAGTTAAAAATAAATAAATTTAAAAAATATTATATTCTTACCTTTTTTACTATGGCTCTTTTTTTTCCCTGCTCTTAGCAATCTTCCTGAGTTCTTTCCGGGTGCCATACGAGGAAATCAAAATGATGATATTGGAAGTGGATGAAGCACAGTTGGCAGAGTCTATGATTCAGGTAAACAAACAGAGAGCTTAAATTCCTATATTTCATTGCAGGCTTCTCATTAAGCAGAAATCTGTAAGTGAAGCAAAATTATTAAACCAAATCATTCAACTGGAAAATCTTCACTGCATAATTACTTTTAGCATAACTTTTGTGTTGCCAGGAGATAGAGCTTCGCATGTTCTCTCTCTTTTTTTTTAATTTTATATTTTCATTTGTTTTTATTAGTTGGAGGCTAATTACTTTACAGTATTGTAGTGGTTTTTGCCATACATTGACATGAATCAGCCATGGATTTACATGTGTTCCCCATCCCGATCCCCCCTCCCACCTCCCTCTCCATCCCATCCCTCTGGATCTTCCCAGTGCACCAGCCCTGAGCACCTGTCTCATGCATCCAACTTGGGCTGGTGATCTGTTTCACCCTTGATAGTATACTTGTTTCAGTGCTATTCTCTCAGACATCCCACCCTCGCCTTTTCCCACAGAGTCCAAAAGTCTGTTTTGTACATCTGTGTCTCTTTTCCTGTTTTGCATATAGGGTTATCGTTACCATCTTTCTAAATTCCATATACATGCGTTAGTATACTGTATTGGTCTTTATCTTTCTGGCTTACTTCACTCTGTATAATGGGCTCCAGTTTTATCCATCTCATTAGAACTGATTCAAATGAATTCTTTTTAATGGATGAGTAATATTCCATGGTGTGTATGTACCACAGCTTCCTTATCCATTGGTCCGCTGATGGGCATCTAGGTTGCTTCCATGTCCTGGCTATTTGCAAACTGAATATAATGCTATCAAATGATTACATTTCAGTTATTTTAAATGACTGTTTCTGAAAGGCAGATTGTTTCCTTTTACATGTATGTTTATTTTTTTTTTTTGCAGTTAAGTCTAATAATATGCTAATTTTAATTTATTTTTATGATCCTTATAGAATATTATTTTCTTGGGCTTGTATGTCTTTTAAAGTTGAATTTTTGTTTGGTAAAGAAGATTGAGGGAGTTTTCTCTTTATTTAGAGTTACCATTACTAACAACCCTTACTTGAGTCATTGTGTTTCTGTGAATACTAGACATTTTTTGCATAGTATTCGGAGTCATTCAGAATGCTGGAAGATTTTTAAAATAGTTTCTACTCATAGGATTATTTTACAAATGTTTGTACCCTGTTGGCAGAATGACTTCCTGAATTCTGTGTAAGCTACCATTAATACAGGTCTTGACAGAATTTAAAGTTGGAGAAGCAAACCACAAATTTAAGAGAATATTATCTTTAGTTTGTTACCTTCATTCTTACAACATACTTAGAAAATGATTTTTTTAGCAATAAAAAGAAACCAAATATTATTTGTTAGTGTTAACAGCTGATTAAAAATATTCTAAATGTTTTAACCCATCAATAAATGGTATCCTTGGAAGTTCTTGGTTTTTTCTGTCCTGTCTTCTAAATGTGGTGTTAATATATAATCCCATCAGTGACTTGTGCTAAGTCTCAGACTCTTAAACTGCCTAATGTAGCAGCCTTTCTTCAAGCGTGTTTTTCCTCCAGCAGTTTCTCTTAGTTTTTGTATTTATTCCTTTTGATCTTGAATGTGCTTTGTTCCTGGGAGTAGATTTCCAAGTTCTTTCACTAAAATCCTTCTACTTAATGCATAGTAGTTTTTATAGCACATTTGTAAATATTATAAATATATAAATATTTATATTTACACAGTAGCTTTTAACTTGATTATATGAATATTTTGCATGATCATGTCTTTTGTTGTTTGAGTGGAAAAAAGTTTGGGTTTTAAAATTCATGTCCAAAGAACATTCAGTTCCACATAATTTATTAAGATATTACTTCTCTATTACTGCTTTAACAATTTACCACAAATTTAGTGGCTTACTATAAAACAAATACGTTGCGCTTTTGTAGAACAAGCCTGGTGCGGTCTTACTGTGCCTGAGTCCAGGTGTAGCCGATTTGCCCTCCTCTCTGGAGGCTTCAGGCTTGCTTTGTTTCCCAGCCGCTCGTGGCTGCCCACGTTCCTGGGCTAGTGGACACACTCCTCCATCTTCTCAGCCAGTGACTTTGCAGCTCTGTTCCTCTCCTCACAGAGGCGTTGTAGGGGTGTCCTCTGTTCACATCTCTCTCTTACTGGTGTGCTCTGCCTCTCCCATGTTTTACGGCCTTTGTGGGTCCATTGGGCACATCCGGGTAATCCAGGATAATGTCTCTAGTTTAGGGTCAGCTGATAGCAACTTAATTCTGTTTTAAACCCTGGTTCCCTTTGTTGTGTAAGTTAATATTTAACAAGTTCTGGGTATTAAATGTGGATCTCTTAGTGGGGTTGGGTCATCATTCTGCTTACCACACTTACTAATTATAAAACCAATCTTATGAATTGAAAATCTAAAAATTTACTTTGGACATATGCAAAATCTTTATATATTCATTAAAAAATAAGAATTTCATGCTGTTTGAAGTCTTATTTTTAATTTTAAAAATATTTTCTAATTGAAAAAGTGAAGAACTTGCCTGTCTTGAACAGAGCATAAAGAAAGCAGTACTTTGTAATAATCATTAATTAATTTAGCACATATTTTATAGTGCCTACCATATGAAGGCATGGTGTTAGGCTCACTCAGGTATAGGCTTGATCAGACACAGACTTTAGCTTTGTGGAGTTTATAGTGTGGCAAGGGAGATGGCATTTTTATATATACATATATATATAATTATAATTTTATATGTATGATTGTAATACAAGGTAAACCTGGCTGTATAGCGAGTGTTAGACCGAGATAGTGTGTGAGGTGTGCGACTGTGTGTGAGCACGTGTGTCAGCTGCTCAGTCACGTCAAACTCTGAGATCCCATGGACTGTAGCCCGCCCGGCTCCTCTGTTCATGGGATTCTCCAGGCAACAATACTGGAGTAGGTTGCCGTTCTCTTCTCCAGGGGTTTTCCCGACCCAGGGGTTGGACTCAGGTCTCCCGCAGTGCAGGCAGATTCTTTACTGTCTGAGCCACCAGGGGAGCCTGCATGTGTGTGTAAAGGTCTTTAAAGGTTGAATCAGTTCAGTCGCTCAGTCGTGTCCGACTCTTTGCGACCCCATGAATCAGCACGCCAGGCCTCCCTGTCCATCACCAACTCCCGGAGTTTACTCAGACTCATGTCCATGGAGGCAGTGATGCCATCCAACCATCTCATCCTTTGCCCTCCCCTTCTCCTCCTGCCTTCAGCCTTTCCCAGCAACAGGGTCTTTTCAAATGCATCAGCTCTTCACATCAGGTGGCCAAACTATTGGAGTCTCAGCTTCAGCATCAGTCCTTCCAGTGTGAATATGGCATGTATATAGGCAGAGGGATCCTTGAGAGGAAAGCTGTGTGGGGCAACTGTGAAGACTTTATTTTGAAAGGAACTTGGGATGGGAAATATGAAAAGGGGAACATAAAGGACAGTTGGGCCTGTAATTTTACAAGTCTAATAGTTTTATCACTTTAGAAAATAAAAATAATGAAGTGAAAAAGTAATGAATTTGTGATGAAAGATTAAAATGTAAGTATATATTAACTAAAAATATTCAAGGTGATTTTATGGTTATCTAAAAGATGCTGAAGAAATTGAGTGTAATAAATAGGTCAGCTGTCAACTAGAATGATTAAAAGAAACCGAGTCTTTTATTAATAACTGAGTCTTCTGGTCTTAGGCAGTTTTACTGAGAGAAATTTCTATTTATAAGGGAAAATCATATTCTTTTATTGTTTTGATTCAGTTTGGTAGTATTAATGTTGAATATTTTTTTAGATGATCTTAAATTGCCACTTTTTTGTTTGTTTTTGGCCAGTCAATCAAGTTTTTGTCCAAAGGTACACTGTGAGTGAAAAACTTGTTCTTTGATCTAACTCTTTGATATATAACATTCTGTAACATTATTTTTTAACTAATATAACACCATTGGGGATTGTTTTTCCTTAAATATATTTAGCATGATATAGGTTTAGTTATAATTTGAATTTGACTTTGGGCTTGTGCAGAGTTTACTTATGCTGTAATTTGCAATTGTGAGCACCAACCACTCTTTTTTTCTTAATTTTAATGTCAGTATACTAATTGGCTATAATATTATTATTGTCAATCATATTTTGATACAGAGGATCTATATAGAGTTTGTCAAAGGGATGATTTAATCATTTAAGTTCTAACAAGGAAGCATAATTATATGTATTCCCTTTCTAAGCTGAAGATGATTGAGGCAAAGGGCCATTACAGGCATGGAACTTAAGTTCTTTCTGTATTCTTTTATCTGCAAGGTTCATCATCCTGTGTCTTCATTGCCTTTTCAAGTTTTCTTTCACATCAGAAAAGTTACCTTGTCTTGTTTTAGAGATATCTTCATTTTTATTATTAAAACTGTAATCATATTGGTTAAATCTTGCAAGTGCTGTCATTAAAATTCCCTTGATTTCTTTTCTATTCTTTCTCTTTCCTGTTAGAAGCATTATGATCTCTTTTATACACCTGAGTCAAGTGCTAAAATATGTTTGGCTTTGCCTGAAAATTTCTGACATTTAATTCCCTATAGCTGAAATGTAATTGATCACATTTATCCAGGTGAGAAAGCTGTTCTGTTGGTATAGGTTGAATTCTCCTTTCTCAATTATATAGCTAATCAAATAAACATTGAGTAGTGCTTGATTTGACTGTGTAATAACCCTGGATAGAAAAGAGGAAAATTAGTTGCTTTCAAGATACAGAGACTGAAGCTTAAGGCTTAGTATTTGGGAAGTTAACTAGAAATAAAACTGAAGATTAACTTGGTCAATGATTTCCTTCTCACAGTTTATTAATAAATTTTCCTAGAATTTAAGAAGCACATTAATGAAGATATTTCCCTTTGGTTTTAATTTTAGAACTTAATAAAACATCTTCCCGATCAAGAACAGTTGAATTCACTGTCTCAGTACCAGAGTGAATATAGCAACTTAAGTGACCCCGAGCAGTTTGCTGTTGTGGTGAGTACCCTGTCAGCCCTCTTTGGAGGGGATCTCTGTGCTGTGAGCGGAGAAAAGAGAATGCAAGGCTCTTCACCTCACTACTGTCCACAAACATTTAATGTCCACCTTGCGTTTTTTCTTAACCTGAGGATATTTGTGGGAAATTACGTTGATTTTAAAATATATGTTGAAATTCTAGCCATAAATGAAGTCCAAGGAGTTTTTTCAACAGCATAAATGTGATTTTTTTATCTTTTCTATTTAATACGAAAATGTAAAATGAAACCTGCACTCCCATGACTGGAGTGTATTTGTGCTTTATTCTAGAGCTGTATATTCCAACATATTGCAAGAGTAGCTTCACTTTCTCATTCTAATCATTCACTTCAGTTCATCTCATGTTTTAGACTCCAAAATTAGAAATATAGTTTCTCTTTGGAAATGAGGATGAAAAAATTAATGTGTTTTAGAAAATCTTCAAGACTCCTTGATAATCATCTTTTTCCAGCCTCCTATTTTATAGAAGTTGGGATCTAAAGAGATGAAAAAAGACTTTCCAATGTTACATGTTAGCTCTATTGCAACTTGAATTTAAGGTTTTTATCAAGTTTTCTTTTCTCCTGCTCTTACCTTCTACCATTAAATTATCATGTTGACGTTGGGTACTTCAGCCATCATGATGTTTAAAGTACTATTTCATTTTTTTTTATTATATAAGATTTTTTCCCCGAGTCTTCAGCTATATTATTACCAATCTCCAGGGACATGATAGTGTTATATTTATGTAATTCGGAAGGCTCAGGTTGGATGACTGAAGGACTGTGTTTGCAGACTATTATTTGGCGTGTTACTGACACTTAAACTTCTTCCTGTCTCTTCATAAATCCAGTCTACTCACCCCTCCCTGCAATGACTCCCCAGCCCCCGAAGTTCACAGAGTCAGATTAGAAAGAAAAAAAAGACAGGTTTTTCCTGTTCATAGCCCTACAATTTTTATTATAAAACTTTTTAACATTATTTTTAGAAAAATGCTATTTTTTTGCTAGAGTCTCTCCAGAGAACTCTTTTTTTTTTAATTAATTAATTAATTAATTTTCATTTATTTTTATTAGTTGGAGGCTAATTACTTTACATCATTGCAGTGGTTTTTGTCATACATTGAAATGAATTAGCCATGGATTTACATGTATTCCCCATCCTGGTCCCCCCTCCCACCTCCCTCTCCACCCGATCCCTCTGGGTCTTCCCAGTGCACCAGGCCCGAGCACTTGTCTCATGCACCCAACCTGGGCTGGCGATCTGTTTCACCCTAGATAATATACATGTTTCGATGCTGTTCTCTTGAAACATCCCACCCTCGCCTTCTCCCAGAGTCCACAAGTCTGTTCTATACATTAAAAAGAATTCATTTGAATCAGTTATAATGAAATGGATGAAACTGGAGCCCATTATACAGAGCGAAATAAGCCAGAAAGATAAAGACCATTACAGTATACTAACACATATATATGGAATTTAGAAAGATGGTAACAATAACCCTATATGCAAAACAGAAAAAGAGACTCAGATGTATAGAACAGAGAGCTCTTTTATCCTCTTGTCTCTCTCTCTCTCTTTTTTTCTAATTCTTGTTTATTTTCTGTCACCTGATCAGTCTTTCTCTTGTTCCCTGTGTGACACAATATCTTCCATGTGAGACAAGGGAGAATTTGCGTTACATTTTTAACCACAAGCTGCTTAGATTTTTGATGTTTGTTCATCCTTTTTGACTTGAATGAAAATCATAGGATGTAAAATTACAATTTTGAAATATTCCTATCAATGTTAAATATGAAATGCAAACTTATATGAAAATATCTACTTACCAAGAAACTCTATGTTGCATATCATCACAGAGATTTAAAACTACTCTCATGTTTTTCCTGGTGATTGTCACAGAAGAAGGAACTCTAACTTGCAGATGTTTTAGGTTTATTTAAATAGTCAGGTTATGCCTGCCCTTGAGAAACGGGGGTTCACATCAAAGAGGCATGACTTACAAGTATTGTATTCAGAGGGGTCAGAAAGTTAAAATAAGTATATTCCCAGATACCAGGGCTTTAGACATGATAATTTTGATTTTAAGACAGAAATAGTTTCAGGACATGTCAATGCAAACTTGACCTTGACTCTACACATTCCATGCTGATCATACCTGACTACAAATGGGATATAAAGAGCGCTAGAGTGATACTGTTGAAAACCATCTGCTATTATCTGTTGATTATGAACATTTCTAAAAATACTGTTTCAAGTTCTGGTTTGTGTTACACTAACATCTTAAAATATATTTGTTTTGATGAAGAAAGAAGAAAGACAATTGAAGAAAAATGTGAAGTTTTTATATACTCTTTTTGGGGGGTAGGGGGTAGCAAATAGTAATATTCTTCACTTCATCTTTTTTTCCATTCCAGTTTTTCACCATTTTCAATCTGGCTGTCACTATTTCTCAAACCCCCATGCATCGCCCAAAGACAGGAAAACGTGCCTAAAGTTTTAAACAGTTGAGAGTTACCCCCAAAATGATGAACCACGTGTGTGACGTTTTCTGTTCTTTCTAATTTAAAAACTCAGTGAGTTCACTCATTCATTAAAGAGTGATGTGTTTTCAGTTTATCAACGTTGTATAAATGATACCATAATTTGTTGGTTTTAAGAAATTGATTATAATTACCATGTATATTTTTTAAAGATTCTCATAATGCTGTTTCATTTTTAAAATTACAAGTTTAGTATACTTGTGTATATATTGAAGATGGGCTGCTAACTAGAGGTAAGCTAAACTGCAGATTCCTACAAGACTTTGCTTTTGTAGAAAATCCTTTACTTATTGACTAAACCTATATTTAAAGTGCTAATCATTTCTAGCTGAAAAATCTTCACAGTCACAAACAAGAAAGAGAGGTGGTAGTTCCACCCCAAATAGGATCGAAACTTGCCTTTTTACTTGTTTTCACCATGGATAGACTGGTGTTAACTGTTTTATCTTCAGGTTCTGCACTGATACTGTCATTTCTAGCATTGTTTTCATTTTTATAGAAATCAGTTAAAACCCTGCAGTTATTTTCGTTGCCAGTTTACATTTTTCTTTTATCCAATTATGTAAATTCATTAATTTGATTCATGTGAATTACAGATGTTTTCTATTTAAATAAACATTCAAATCTGATAACAGTGGATAAAGTCACTAAAGTTGTTTGCCTTATATAATCCGCTTTAATTCCACACAAGAATTACATAAAACGACAAACAAACAAAATCCAGCTTACCTGGACATCAGTGTTTGTCTCCATTATTTCTGTTTCATAGAAAGGCAGTTTGTGAAAGTAACACGTCCAAGTTGCTGGTAATCAATGTCAATTAAAGGCCAAGTAGAATAGAGACTTCCTTGGCTGTCCAGTGATTAAGACCCCAACCTTCCAGTGCAGGGGCAGTGAGTTTGATCCCTTGTCAGGTAACTGAGGTCCTACATGTTACGTGGTGTGTCCCAAAATACCAAATGGAGTATATAAAACACAACATGTAAATTAGAAGTATGTTCTACTTTTGTCGTTTATTACTTATATACAAGTATCCCAGGTTCTATGGTCTATAGAGTATGGTATTCAGATATACTATTCAGAAATGTGTGAATATCCATTAAATTGTATGTCCCTTATGTTTTCTTTAAACAACTAAACCGTTTGCTATGTCTATATTCTCTCCACATTTCCTGTAATACGGAGTTTCCATATCCACTTTTATTTATTTCTCTCTTGAAATTGAAGCAAAGTTCTTTAATCCTGATCTTATCTCTGTTCTTTAAAAAATAGTCTTACTGCAGGGGAGCTGTATCTTGGTACTTTTATGGTACTAAACATTTAATTGCTCATCTTAATTATGTTAATTACTGGTAATTCAGAATCTTAAGGTGCGTCCCTGAACTGATTCTTGCAGCCCTGCTAACTTGAGCCTTGGCCAGTTTGAGCCCGACAGTTCTCAGGAGTTCCAGGGCGCCCCTGTTGACGCCTTGTTAGTCTAGTAGTGGTGTTGACATGGTGATAGCTGGTACCTTTAGAACTGATAACACAGTGCTCTGAATTCAGGACCTAGGAGTTTATTGATATTATTGACTTGTTTTGTGGCTGATAGCTATGTTTTCCAGGAAATTTTGACATAAGGAAAAAATAACATATCAAATAGTCTGAACAAGCTGTCATTTAATTCTGAGAGACTAAGTGTGCTAGTCAAGTGATATTTTGTTATTTTAGAGATGTGTTCTGAGAGGTGGTCCATCTTTGTATCATTCTGTGTAATGTGAAATGAATGAGACAGTTTACAGCCGGTTTTATTTGTTGGTTTAGGTTTTGGGCTCCCCTGATAGCTCAGTTGGTAAGGAATCCACCTGCAATGTGGGAGACCTGGGTTCAATCCCTGGTTTGGGAAGATCTTCTGGAGAAGGGAAAGGCTACCCACTCCAGTATTCTGGCCTAGAGAATTCCATGGATTGTGTATAGTCCATGGGTTGCAAAGAGTCAGTCAGGACTGAGCTAGTTTCACTTTTTAGGTTTTGGGCAGAAGACATTGAATACTAATCAGTGTGCTTAAATTTGAAACATTCTTTTCCCTAGACAGTCCAGGATAAAACTTTTTGTGGAGAAATTGTTTCATATTTGGAGTGCCCTAGTCTCATGCTTTATTCAGCTTAATTTTCTAACAATAATATTATAAAAGGAAAGTGTGCTTCTTAGAAACTCTCACTCATTGGATCAGTTAGCTGTCTTTTTTCTTGGATTCCTTACTTTTCCTCTTTAGCCTTAGTATCTCCTTGTATTTCCCTCAAATACTGCCTACTCATCAAAGGCTGGTTTCTGTTGAAAGAACCTGATTTTAGTTGTATGACTGTATTTTTTTATATTTGCAGTCATCTTTTGATCAATAAGCCATTAGGTAAAATCACTGTGCTCACAGTGGTACGGTTAACTGTGTGAGAAGTAAGA